AAGCTTTTCAATATAATTCTTGAGTGTCATTTTCCCTGACTGGAAATGTCAAAGTTCTGGGCAAGCATTCTCCACATCGTAGTGAGGGGCAAAACATAAACAGAAAGCAGCATCAAACTCATCCATGGTAGACATTGGTGGTTTCTTATCTACAACCGAGACTCTTCAAACCAATTCCATCATTGAAGACCCACATCATGCAAAACCATTGGAATGGCCAATAAAGCCTCTACATCTGGAGTTCCCCTAGTAGCCAAAAACTTATTCACATTGGCTAGCCAAGCAAGACACTCGTCCACACCACCATCACCCGAAAAAGTTGGAATTTTGAGTCGATCTACTAAGGAAAGCTTACTCAGAATGCTACCATGTCTAGCCTCGAGTGCCTCAACACGCTCATCCATGGTATCCATCATGCCATGCATCTCGTCTTGCATCTTTTGCTCCTTCTCCAAGTAGACCACAATGAAGTCTGAGGCAGTGATAGTCTTTCGAAGAGCCAACAACCACACATACTTTGTCAATCCATCCACTATGACCCATACTTGCTCCTTTTGCTTCTGTGTTTGTGGCAAACAAGTGATGAAGTCTATAAAGATACTACACCAATGGCTTTGAGGAATAGGTAAAGGTTGCAACAGTCCCCTCAGCTTCTCCTGTGGCATCTTAACCCGCTAACAAAGCTCGCATGATTTAGAATACTCGAAAATATCAACCTTCATATTCCTCCTATAAAAATTGCACTTAATCAACTTATATGTCTTCTTCCCCCCAATATGACCGGCCTCTGGACGATCATGATAGTGGAATAAAACTTGGGTAATTAACACATCCACCTATGGCAAATATACACGGCCATTATAGTAGAGAATCCCATCCACCAATGAGAAAAGGGTTTCTATCTGGTCTGGCAAAAAGGGCACCTCAGCATCCTGAGTTTGAGCACGCTCAACCAATTGCCCAAACTTGCTGACCACCTTATTCAAATAATGACAAAACCGTGTTTGTAATGCTGTCACATGATGAACATGAGATAAAGCATCTACCACCACATTTGATTTTTCCAAATGATGCTCAATAGGAAACTCCCCAAACTCCATGAGTTTGATCATCCAACGAGCTTGATTAGTGTTTAACTCCTTTTGTGTGAAAAATACAAAAATGGTTTATGATCTGTCAACACCACAACCACTGCACTATAAAGATAGTGCCACCACATCCCCAAAGCATAAACAATAGAGAGTAATTCTTGCTCATATGTGGAATAGCATTGCTTTGCAGGATTTAAAGTTCGGCTCTCATATGCAATAGGTTGTCCCTCTTGCATGAGAACTCCTCCTAATGCATAACTACTCCCATCACATGTCACCTCATAAGGTTTTGATGGATAAACAATGCAAAGCACTGGAGCCTTGCTCAACAATCGTCTTAGCTCCATAAAACTCTCCTCTTATGGCTTCTTCCACTCAAATGGCATGTTCTTGCATAATAACCATGTCAAAGGAAAAGCCACTTGCTGAAAACAAGAATATTACTCCACACCTCGTAATGAAGGCAACCTATGAGGAAGTTTAGATGGAAAAATATTGAAAAACTTGTCAAGTACATTCTATACTGTTGCTTCTCCCCCACATATGCCTTGGTCCCCCAAGTTATAAACAAACATCAAGTAACTTAAAAGTGCTTTTCCATTATGACAATCCTGCTTCAAAGATGTAGTAGAGAGTATAACAACTGGAGGTTGAACTCCCTCTCCAAACCACATATCTTTAATGCCATTGTACTCTAGTGAGACACGCTTAATACTCCATTTTATCTCCAGATCCACCTTCACCAACCATGGCATCCCAGGAATGAGATCCACACAATGGATATCCGCAAGATAAAAAGTCTCCATGACATCCCAAGAATGAGATCCATACGATGGATATCCGCAAGATAAAAAGACTTCACAAGTGTGGTTTTGCCAACTAACACTTCTAGCCTCTCTACACAAGCATTGAAATGCTAGGTAGAGATAGTTCCACCTTCTACCATATATGAAATAACTCCTCATGTCACCAAGCCATGCTCCGCAATAAACTTTGCTAAAACAAAGTTGTCATCACTCCCACTATCTAGTAAAATCCACATTTGGACCACCATAGAACATGCCCTCCAGTATTAAAGTTGATTCATGAGTATCCTCAAGCTCCATTTTGTTTTACACATAATTGAGTTGACGAGAAATGATCGAAAGCTTCTTCCTTTGACCAGAATGATCATCCTCACGTTGCAAAGTTTGCAACTTTTTAGTATCTAACTTACTGTCAGTAGAAGATTAATCATTCTTCTTGCCTTGTTGTTTGTTCTTCACTTGTGAACAATCAGCTTTATAGTGTCCAAGCTCACCACAATGATGACAACCATGCCTATAATTTTTCACAAAGAACTTCTGCTTCTTTGACCCCTTTGCATCTGAAGTAGTCACCACAGACTTCAACTTGTGATGCTTGTTGCCATCTTTGTGTCCATGATGATCATCATGACGATTCTTGACAGAAGGACTTTGTGAACGCTGGCGAGACTTGTGCTTATCAATTGTCAAGTCAATAAACCACATGAAAGAGCTCCTTGAAACTCTTTGTAGGCTGTGAAGGATGCAAGTATTGCCAAATGAAAGTACGACTTGTCTTGATCTGGATCCTTCATTGGAACACGGCTAATTAAATGAGTAAGCTTCTCAATATAATCCCCGAGCCTTACTGGAAACGTCGAAGTTCTATGTGAGCATTCTCTATATCGTAGTGAGGGGCATAACGTAAACAGAAAGCAGCCTCAAACTTATCTATGGTAGACACTGGTGATTTTTTATCCACAACACAAGACTCCTCAAGCCAATTCCACCATGAAAGACCTAAATCACACAAAACCATTGGAATAGTCATTAAAGCCTCTATATCTAGAGTTCCCCTAGCAACCAAGAACTTCTTCACATTGGCTAGCCAGGCAAGACACTTGTCCATACCACTATCACTGGAAAATGTTGGAATCTTGAGTTGATCTACCAAGGAAGGCTTATTTAGAGCGCTACCACGTCCTGCCTTGAGTGCTTAAACATGTTTGTGCATAGTATCCATCATGCCATGTATCTCGTCTTGCATCTTTTGCTGATTTTGATTAAGGGCTCGCAGCTCATGAACAACATCTTGAATGGTCCAAACCTCCGCAGCTCCATCAGCACCATCTTCGGCACCACTATCAACAATAGGATTCCAACATTCAACTTGGTTAGCCATTGCAATCAACTCCTCTGATACCAATGTTATATCCGGCACAAAAAGACAGAAATCTAGTCTTCCTAAACTTTACTATGCCACCTCTTGAGGTTCCTCACCATTTAACCAGCCCCAAGCTACCTCAAAAACTCTAGTGTGCCACCAGTCCACTATGATCCCTAGGGTAGGTTAAATCCCTTACCCTAACATTCCTTAATATAGCCTTGAGCCTCCCTTTGAACCACGTCAAAGCTGGTGCCTAACATTGGTACATGGCATTGAGCACTGCTTTCACTAGAAGAGGTCCAAATGTTGTACAATCGTGAGGTATTTGAAGTAATTCGAGTGAAGCTAGTAACTAGGAAAGGCCAAGAATTACAGACTTGGTACCAGCTACCACTTGATTTTCTAGTTGTTGTCTGGGTGAAGGTAAATTAATGTTGAAATATGTATCAACTTATATTATAATGTTTCTTGCAGCCCATAATCAAAGGAGAAAGAGCCTCATTCTTTAAAAATGCCCAAGGGGACGACCAGCAAAAGGAGATGGAGTGGCATGCAATTGAGCAGTGAATTTTGAATATGAAGAGAATAAATGTGAAAAAGTTGCTCTTGATTGCAGACATATGATACAGGTAGGAATGGTTTGATAGCATTGCCGAGATTTAGTCTCACATTCGTAAGTTCTTCTAAAATTTGCATAACTCTTTGTATGTGTAGGAATTGATAAAGCACTGGAAGAACTCATTTACAATATCTCTAAGAGTAAAATGTCCTTTGCAAAGCATTTATTTAGAACTTCTCAACACTTGGCTGTGAAACAACGAAAAATGTTATAAGATAAGGATGGAGAAGGTGATGAAAGAGAAGGCATACATTTCTTAGAGTATTGCCACTGGTGAGGAGATGGTACAAGTCTAGGATGAGAAGTTTCTTTCTAGCACCCGCACAGGTATCACTCTTGAAGAATATATTTGTGCTTGTCTTGTAAAGCTAGGGAATGGTTGGCTTCCACGTGGTGGGATGAGCTTGGCTGAGTTCAAGAACCAACCAAGACAACCATTTCTTGTGAGACATATGGTTTACATTTATTTTCTCAAATCTTGTTTATATATTGGTATTTATATTTTTGTTTTCTTTATAGATATTTAAAATATTGCCTTGGCACACCAGTATACACAACCGGTGTTTTGCAAAAGCTCCTAACTAGGGGCAAGAAGCTTAGGATGTATGAGCCAAAGTTCTATTGTCCTTGTACACATGAGAGGGAGCTATGCCTATGATACCTTGAACTCATAGAGTAGATGTTGACATTAGACTTTGAGCTGGATCTCTACCTGAATATCATCTAGGTTCACGTGAAACTTAGCACTTAGCTAGGAAATATTAACCTTGAGTTATATTCTTATTTTCCAAAGGCTCTTTCCAACTATGATAACAACATTGTTGAAGTTCAACAACTAAACCCAGGAGTCCACACTCAGGAAACCATTTAGGAGATGCCAAATCCAAATATCGTTGAACTAGAGTAAACTTTATAAAAGATTCCAGCACAAAAGATTGTAGCACCTGCTCCTCACAACCCCTGAAGGGGCCATTGTGAAACCTTTCATAAGAGTAAGGAATTTGATTTGGACGGCTACAAACGATGACTTGGAAGAGCTCTCCTTTGTAGCTATGCACAAACATGTTAGTAAGCATGAATTTTATCTCCAACTTTTAGTTCTAATAATTAATTTTCAGGTTCGTCCTCTATCCCCAACGGCTAGTGTTGGGGAAGTTGCTGTTCTCATTGGGGATTACATGCAGCTTTTAGATGCTACTAGTCAGAAGCTTTACATGCTTGATCGGTGGATCCATGGCTTGAGTCAGCTTACACCTTATAGGAAGATTGATTTCATCTTTTTCCATCTTCCTGATGGGATGCCACTACCGCAGGTGGATACTTTGTCACGGAATGTGTTGTAGGCCCAACACATTTCCCAAGCTTTACAGGTTGCAAGCAGCTTCATGACATACAAGTGTGTGGTTGTCATGATCCTTCCCCGCTCTCTAATGTGGGAAGGCCTTCTCGCACACTTAGTTGACAACAATGATGGATTTGTCAAGTTTTCATCTGGCTGCCTTCTTTCGAGTATGGCAGTTGACACAAAAGGCACTAGTGGGTAGAAGCAAAAGGCATGTGACTTCTTTATTTACAAATTAACTCTATTCTATTTTTTTTCCAGGTTTATTCCTAGAACTACCATGCTCTATGCCACATTGGGAATTGGCATAATGCCACACGAGCTAACGAGTGTGCTGCTCTTGCTTTACCAGGATATGACAGCTTTACAGACATCATCCTAAATGTGATTGACTTAGATGTTCTTCAAGTCATTAAAGGGTACAAACTACACTATCAGAATCTACAAAAATTCATCATGTACCTACCCAAATTTTATAAAAAGAGTGTATAGGAAAGGTATACTTAGCTTGCAAGCACATCTATTACATTTTTATACAAGAACTAAACCAAAATCCTAAAATTGACCATCATATTCACCAGGCAAGCCTTACAATTATGAAGCTTGAGAAGTGTTTTTAGATTGTTTTTAGTGTTTAGATCGATATTTATATTTATATTTTATTGGTTAATCATAACAACAAACTCTTTAGCCACATCATTGATGTGGTTTGTCTTTGTGATTGTGCACTTCAACTCCTTTGCCAACTTAATCTTCTCTTGTGCACCTTTTGAAATGGAAGACCTAGTTGACACTTTTTGCCCAATGAAATTCACAACTATTTTCTTTACCTTGTAATGGCTGATTTTTATCACCTCTAAACATTTGCTATACATCCAGCCAATTAGCACTAGCAACATCTACCATTAAACCACAGAAGTTGGGTTTCTTCCTGGTTCGTTGTTGAACAATGTCAGACATATATGTTCAAAAGATGGTTTGAGTTTGGAAATCCTGAACATTGAATTCAACTATAACTATAGTCAAGCTACACTACAACCTATAGAAGGAATAGGTATAATGTAAACCGACATAGAATCCTTAAAAAATGAAAAACCACTTACTTGTGATCATAATCATGAGCTCCCATAGTTAACCAATCTAAAACTAATTTTATATGGTTGAAATGGATCCAAAAATTAATCAAGTCCCTATCTTCATCTATATTCATTTGCTGTACAAAGTCCACACTAGAAGCAGAACCAAGGGTTGACATCTTAAAGATGAAAGAGCATTGACTGTTTGAAGTCACTTGGCCAACAAACAAACTTCCATCAATAAACTTTTAGAGATATTTTCTCTTTAGCCTTAAAATTGCATTCAATCCATGAAGCTTTCCATCTTACCCTTCTCGTACTCAATTCTTTATTTTGCCAAAAAAAAGGGTGTTATTAGTGACAAAGTAGAGTTATATATTACTCTTTTGCCTTTTTAAATTTGTCATAGGTTCTATATTTCAAAGTAGGTCCTTCAAGCTATTTTCTATGAACTCTTTTTTGCTATCAGATTGTAACAATGTGTCCACCACATAATCCTTTAGTACAAACTGTTGAACACACTTTGGAGTTGCAGCACTTTTCTTCCTAACATCTATAGTAAGAGCAATCTTCAAATTTGTGAAAAGAATCACGGTGGATTCCTTCCTCTGTTGTGTGTTGGTGGTGTCCAACATGCACTGCTGCTCTGCCTAAACATCCATCACGTGGAAGAAAATAATACATCCTTGCATTGCAACATGCTCGATACACAAGTGTTACACCACATTTGTGGCATCTAAACCCTATAGCAACCCCATCACACTTAGGGGGATTGATTGCTGAGCCTACGAAGAAACATATGTTCTTGCCATAAGCAAAATGTATGTCTCAATAACACATTGAAGTTGTCCACCACAATAGACTATGGATATGGATCCTTTGAAATGGGAGAAATGGGTCATCTTTACCCTACACCAATTATGTGGATTAAGATGTGTCTCCATGCCCCTCTTCCTGCTTTGGGGATCTGGCTAATGGAAATTTAAAGAATATATTCCCATTATAGGAAAATGGCAGTTTCTTACCTCTTATATACTCAAACTCCTTCAATTCTAGCCATAATGATCAAGATTGCTGAAATGCCTTATCCACCACTTCAAAAACCGATCCAAAAAAAACACTTCCTTGTCTAGGAAGTTATGTTGGGAATCTTAAGAGAGAATAACAACTTTATCTTTCACTCTTTGCACAGTTGGCTATGAAACTAATGTGCTCTCCTCTCCTCTCTTTAGAAATCCTATAACTAAAATCTCCTAACTTATACATCTATCAAGATCCCATTAAATCCCATTCTCTCCCACACTATTGTCGAGAAGAATGGGTTTTTCTAATAGATTACCCTCATTGTGATATACATTCTCTAAAATAACTGATTTAGGCTTCAGCTTGAATCTTTTGTAGAGGAAACTCTGTCCTATAACACTCTTAGAGAAAACAATTGGAGGCTCTTGATCAAACTTCAAATAGAATTCTCTTATATCTTCTCCTTGCACAAGCACTTAGAAAACATTTGGGGAGAAACTGACAAGAAAGAACAAAGATATTCTTTTATATTATTGTGAGTTTTAATTAGTTGTATCCTTGTAAAGGACAAGTTAATAATTTCAACAAAATATACAACCGTTTAGAATCTAGAGAGATATGAGAATTTTAAAGAGCCACCCATATTAATTGTATAATTGATTGTGATAATATTAATATTGTTGAAATAAATGGGGTTATGAGCGAGAGGCACTGGTCAATCACAAGAGTTGTCGCATTGATTGCTTGTTCTCCCTCTCATCTTCATGCTATCTTTCTTTCAAGAGAGTTTTATTCTTTTGTGAGAAGAGAGACAAGCTTAGAGAAGTTGGTTCACGTGCAATTTTTTTCATGTGCAATATCGAACTAGTGAACTTCTTTTGCCAATGAGCCTACTTTGGCATAAGCTTTGGCTACGTAGCGAAGTAGCTCAATGTGTTACTATCCATATAAACTTTGATATGACTACCTAAATAGTGTATCCAATGTTTCAATGCTATAGTGCATATAATCATGGGATGAAATTTGGATATACTGTCAGTGTGGATTCTTGGAACCTTAGATAATGGATAACATTATTAACCATTAAAAGCTCTCTCATCAAACAATTGTTTTTTTTCCAATTGGCTTAAGGGGAGAGAAACAAGATGCATTATATGTGGTATTTGTAATGCACATGAATTTGGAGCCGAACTCCAAGCTCGTTGCGCTATAAAACGAGGGTCCAGTACAATCCCATGAGCACCAGCTCCCCATATTCAACACCTACACGCAAAATGGTGTCAGATGGAGTCTGGCACAATTTTGGCATACTGGTGGCTTAACGCGAGGAGGAGGGTACCCCACCGACTAGAGTAGTGTGGAACTTGGGCTTAGACCCAAGCCGGACGCAGAACAAGGAGCGATATAGCCCAGCGGGAACAAAACTAATATCTCAGGTGGTTGAACATGCATTCCAACCACTATCCCTACTATACATTTGGAACCCCCCACAGCCCCTTGCCTTGAGGAACACACGCTTTGGGATTTCACCCTAAGCCTCCCTTAGTACCAAGAGTTAGTCTCTGGGATAAACTCAAAACTTACTGAATATGGAATGTCCTTAAATTGCGAATTTGGATACGGTGTTGGGGGAAGGAGGGGCACCTCCCCCAATGCTCATTCAAACATGAGGAATGCTTCAATGCTCTCTGCAAAATGCCCCCCCCCTTGCCCTTGTGAGGCAAGGGTTTTATACAAGGAAGATGGGGAATATTCTAAGGATCAAAATATTCCCTTTCTCGCTCTCTCACTCTCTCAATGGCCACGCTCTAACATGCGACCACGGTGGATCGCATTGGCTCCAGACGTGCGAGAACCCTCCGAAGAGTGTAGAGTGTACCTCTATTACTGATGCCAAGTGCTAGTGGCTGCGTGAAATAGTAGAAACTGTAGAAAAAAAAGTGGAAAAGAAAGAAAAGAGGTAGGTATGAAGTTTGGAGACAGGGAGGAAAACCCGGTGGGAAACCTTGTAGTCAAACTGGACCCTATAGTCAAACTGGACTTTGAAGCTGAAGAAATAGTGCAGAAAAAGTGTGAAAAGAGGAGAGAAAAATAGGGGAAAAAAAACATGAGTACCCAAAGAACTTAACCCGTATCTGGATTTCAGCTCAGGAAAGTGTAATATGCAAATGCAACCTCTTGATGACTTCCGGTATGCTCCAAGGATTGGCCGAATTTTAGAAAGAAAGAGAGGTAGAAGAGGGGATGTGTTACCCAAGTGGTAAGTGTGGAAATGATGAAAGATGGAGTGATATGGTGGAGCACCGAGATAGTAGTGGCACTCTAAAAAGGTGGCCATTGATAACCGTTGGCCCGTAGAATAAGCGCTAACCTCTCAGAGTAGCTGGTAACCGGTAACCACCTGCTTTCGCTCCTACTTCTGCACCTGCTCCGGCACTGATATGGTGGAGTGCTGAGATGGCGGTGGCACTCCAAAAAGGTGGTCAGTCTGATGTGTTAGACTAGTCAGCAGTTGAAATGAACGGCATAGTCGCTGGGTTGCCAGTAAAGGGAGGTGGCATGTGTCCACTGAGTGTTGGAGCAGAAGAAAGTGGCTTTGGCTTCTATGGCCTCGCCTAAAGATCCACCTAGGTGTCTTGAGTGAACAGGCTCACCTGGTTGGAAGAAAGTCACTCCAGAAAAGCTAGTGTGTTGTCAGCAAATGGTCGTAAAAATATCTCAGAAACGGCACATCCAAATGGGGTGATGTTTTTTGCTGCTGGTGCACATATGTGTGTCCGTGGTATGGTGTAAATGTGACCTCAAATGGAGATGTGAATGATGGTGAAAGAATGAAAGATGCAAAATGGGCATCTAGAGATAAGTGTGGGCAACGCTGCTGGAAGTGTTGGGTGATGGAACT